ATGGGACGACAGAGTAAAGGAATCAAGGAGATGGTTGAAGTAATTCCAATACACTATGATGTATTGATATATTCAGTACATTCAGTAGTTCACTACACCAGTAGTTCAGTAGACACTGTGATGATTGATGATATTGTAAAAATAACTCCTAATACTACAGTATATGGAGGAAAATAAAAATAAAAGGATATTAAAATCATAATGACCTATCCCAATCCGCTCTGTCCTATAGGTTTCGGGCCTTCTCACTACCACTTCCTAAATAAATGAAGTTCCACATTGAATTGTAAGTAGTATTTTTTTTAATGTTTCGTTCCTTAATGACTTAGATATCGATAAGTTGCTCTCAATGTGTTCTTACGTTGACACCTGCTCTTGCTTCTTGTACAAACCTACAAACCGAGCTCTACCTCATAACGTTTTTCGTAGGGAATATGCAGCTACAGACACGTAACTATCGTTTCGCCTAGATTCGAATTACCTGTCTTTTGATGAAATTCAGTAAAACAAATTTCGGTGTCCCTTGCACCCCGGAACAGGACCGATTCTGTCGCTGCCTTCGGGCGGGACGTGGCTGTGTCTCCCATTTCGGAGGCTGGCGCCGAGTGTCCGCCGCGCGAACGCGCCACGCCTACTGGGCGGCGCCGCTTCCAGCTGTTTCCTTCGGAATACAGATAGCGGCCACAAGAATGTTAACTGGACGAATCTACCACTCGTCTTCGTCTCTCAGCTGAAGGAAAATAACATCGACGTAAACACCTTTTTATTCTCTCTTTCCTGCCCCGTCTCTCAGTTCAAAGGAATTGTGGCTTATATGGGGAGTTTATCGACTGGCGAGAGATGGAAAACAGACGTAATGAATTACCGCATGTATAAACGATAAAAATGGTTTAAGACGGAAGGTTTTGGTATTTATTTTCAAAAACGTTTTATCTGTGAAAGAAAATTGTTCTTGGAAGTTGGGTAATAATTTTTAATTATATTTCTTTCTAGCGATGAATGTCTTTATCTTAGTAAGAAATTGAGTGCGAATTTTTTTTCCTTCTTCTAGAATTCTCATTAGAAATTAAAAGATATTTTAATTACGTTTTGTAAACATTTAGTCGTGAGAGGTAGGCACTCCGATGACCCACGATCATGTATAAGAGGAGCTCGCTTACGTAACTTTCGCTGAAACGATAGTATTGTTCCTGCAACCACATTAAAAACCGGCTACGGTTGGTGTCTATGCTTTATGAGCAGATCATCCCACTTTGCGTTTTATAAATATAATTCACGAGAATTTCTAGCTTCAACCATGTTAACTTCTCACAAGATTTTCCGAGACTTGAATTGAGCACATCGCTCTCCCTATTGGCGATCGGTAATCAGATGTGAGGTGAGATCACTCTTCTCAGTACCTTGCGGTCGGTTTTCCCCGACACGGCTGCTTCTGGGAAGCGGCAGACGAAGTGCTGTACGGACCCGGCAGTCACCTGTCCGGGCGCTGACCCACCTGCTCCTGAGCCAGCATCCGTTTCCATCGCTAAAACCAAACAATCTGCTTGCAGCTACAGTGGCATAGGACGGTTGTAGAGCCCAAAGCCGTACATATTCTTTCGTGTGGTCAAAGAAGTGCTCTAATTTTTCTGCATTTTTCGAAACTCGAAAATTGACACACTTCTGTTCAGTGTTGCTTTTCTTCTCTGTACGATGTAATAAGGTATAATTAATTGTAATACTCGTTCTCTCGATATTATAACATCTCTTGGTTGTGTGTAATAAAGGTGATGCGAAAGGGAAAGCATTCGTAATGCAGATGGATTATCCGTTTTGTCACATTGTTTGACCGCGCTAGTCAGCTTTAAGCTATTATAAAGTAATGATGAAGGAATGATGCAATCGTTCATATCTCCTTATTGACGGAGCGCCTATTGAAATCTTTTATTGAATCTTTGAACAGTGTGAAAATTAAAAAAAACTTTCTCGTAGAGGTATCCATCACCACTCTCGCACATTGACAGTGGGGAGATTCCAAATCAAATGTGGATTCCTCTCCACTCCCATTCCGCCCCTCTCCGACCTGCTGGAGCCTGAAGGCTGCAACGCTCGCTTCTTTCCTCCTGTTACTGAGAAGTAGAGAAACTAGCGCGAATTTGTATATGTATTTGTCTTAATTCACGTCACGCACATAAGGAAAAGCGAGAGTTTATAAAAGGTGAAACACATGTGTGTTTTTAACCTATTTCTTTTCTCTGGAATATGTCAACCTGTATTTCGAGGTCATATTCTAGCTTAAAATACTTAAAAAATGTTTATTTCTGGTCAGAAGGTACAATTTATTTTCTCAAGAACACTTTTCATGAAAAAAGCTCGTGTGAAACTCCAATATAATGTCTGGAATTTTCTGTTGACCACACTTGTAGACATCCAGTGTTTTCCAGTTCCAGTAACGAGATTTAAAAGTTAATATAGCTTAAATAATAAAATAATGTATTTGTAAGACAGTATCACTGGGGTTTGCTTCACTTGATCGAGAGGGTAGAAGGTAAGAACTTTGCTATTGAGAGCGCATCAGTGATGTACCGAACATGTCTGAGTTCTAGAGTCCGAAGCCTTCGAGACTTTTCGTCTGCCTTGTGCAGTATCAAATTCAGAGGAATACTGCTGCTACTACCTGTACTACTATTACTACTACAAAACTACTTTTGATAATGATATTAAAAAAAACAACTAAGGTCAAATAACTGAGTGAATAGGAAAGATATCTAGTTAAGTTTGTCTTGATATACAGTGGGTTGACTTAAACTAATTTTCAAAAAATTTGTACTACTAATATATCAGATCATTGACATGGTTAGAAGTTTCTTGAAGATCCGTATACAAAAACTTTCCACAATATCTAACGTATATTTCTCGCCAGATGAATGCATATGTGCGGAAGAGGATATCCGTTAAACTTTAGATAAGAAACTTCTGAATTTATCCGGATATCCTTGATGTATTCATATATGGTCATATGCCTAATCCTCTATGGCGACGTTCTTTTGCATGTCGGCAATCACAACACATTTCGACCGGATGTACGTCGACGAGGAAGAGACGAAACTACTGCGTTGGGTGGCTGCTTCCTGCGCATCGTCGTGCGCATCTCTCTTGTTTTGAGCGATGGGAGTCTTGGTGTTTAACTCATTTGCGATGACCTTTCGGCTTCCGAAGCTCGCGCTATCTCCCTCTTCAATCTACGTAATCCCCGCCTCTCCCTTTCCATTCTTCGCCACCTGTGTTGACGACTTTCCCTACACCTCCGTGCGTTCCTTATGTTCTTTCTCACACGCGCCGATAGAGCCTTCCCCCCCCCCCCCCCNNNCCCCCCCCCCCCCCCAGCTTTCCTGGTGTCACGGGAGTTCAGCGAAGCGGGAGGGAAGTTGTTTCTGGTGGAGTTTGTTGTGGTTCTGGGTTTATAGCTGTGACGCGTGTTGTGCTCGATTACGGTTTTGGCGACCACCTGAGTAATTCATTTGATGATTCATCTGAGAGTGAATGATACAGAACAGGAGCTTGGGAACTGTTTTCTTTTCGTTGTATTCGGGCAGAATGTAATAGAGATAACGTTTAATGTGATGTCTACTGTGTAGGTTCGTGTTATGAAGAGAAAAAGTGCGTCAGCATGAACGTGCGTTGGCCTGGAGGCAGGTAATTCTCTTCGCGATTGCTTCTCTGTCTCTCCCATCCCGTTGCTTGCCTGCGTCATTGCCATCTTTTCTTCACATCATGCCTATTTATAATTCTTACTTACCGGGTTTATGCTGTTAATTTTTATTGAGTTTCATAAGGGCAAATGTTCAGCAAATTACTAGAATGTAAAGGTGATATATCGAGTTAAATAGAAAATAATGGCTTCTCCTTACATTAAAAAACCATGAAAACAAAATATTTTATACATAACTTTTTGAGGAGCTGGTAGTTACGGACTGTTTAGTCAATCATGAGGAAAATAGTAAAAAACTGTCATTTAAATTGTGGGAAATGCATCAGAATGAAGAGTACGGAGACATCCCAAATGAACATCGAAAACATTAATTTGTTGTTTTTTTCAATTATTTATGAAAAGGTGTTTGCACCTACGTTTTTAAAATTGAAATTTCATGGATGTGTTAATATAATACATACACGTGAAGACAATGCGACTTGTCTTGACGTCAAGCTCCTATCACTCTTACGTCAAAAGATAATTAATGAGTAAATATTATGAATCTCTTTTGTAATACATCGCTCACCTTCCAGGAAACTACGAGTTATTGTTGTAAAAATGCTCTTCTGCGTATGCAGTGCACGTTATGACGTTTTCGTCACTCTTACCTTGTTGTATATTCTTTTATTTTAAGAAAAATAATTATTCGCCGAAACCGGCAGTAAACAACGTTCAAGATATTCATCGCACATCGTGTTTTTCTGCTTTTTGTGACTCTCGGAAATTGAGGTGTATGAAGTGTCTGTTTAGTAATTGCGTTTTCTCCTGTTCTGTTTGTTTTGTGCGAGGGGAGACATCTCCGTCTCCCCAGGATCCAACGACTGCATTAAACCGTTTCCATGTAGAATCCTATCGGAGAAAAGTGGCTTCGCTAGACTGGCCCGCCAGTGGGTAAACAATCGTCGGGAGTTGGTCGGGGCGCCCTGCGTTTATCCTGCTGGCGCCACCGCCCGCGCCTCGTCCTCTGCCGCCGCCGCCGCCGCCGCCGCCCCGCTCGAATGCGGCGGCGATAACAGACGGCGGACGTCAGCAGGCCCTTCGGCCGCGGTCGGCCGTTTCCGCGGCCGGTCGGCGGCGTCCTCCCCCGGAGCGGCGAGTGGGCAGGCGCGCGGCGCGCTCTTCAGTCGGCGTTCTCGCCTTCCGAGCAGCACGTGCTTCCGCGGCGGCCGGCTCCCGCCCCGGCGAGCGTGTTTTCGAGTGTTGTCGGCGGTGAAGTGCGTGGATCTGTGCACCTTTCGTTGTTGTCATCCGCTCTTCGTGTGTTGACATGGGTACTCGACGAAGTATTGTGTGCCTCTGAGGAGTATAACGTGCTGATATTTACGATTGCTGGAGGTGGCTGAGGTATGAATTTAACACTAATGATGGATTTTGCTACCAAAGTTAGAGCAACTAAATGTTTGTCGAATATGTATGTCTTAGCATAACGTTGTATTGATTACTTTAGCTTCAAATATAATTACATTTGTTGAGATGGTAAACTTGATATGCATTATCTTTGGAAAATTACAGTCAGGTGACTGAAGGGATTGCTATGAATTTTGAGTCACTTAAAAAGTTATTTAGTATACTTTAGTAGATTTTGGATATATTTTCTAATTGGTAGAGCGTAGAGAATTAAACATACAGACGTGTCTACTCTGAATTATGGATGACTGAATTGAATGCTTCAGTATTTCAAGAAACATTCTAACCAGTCAATCAGTTTTATCAATTTGCAATTTCGTCTTTTAATGGGATCCGTGAACTGATAAGATCATACATTTTTACATTATCGGTGTTGATATAAATTATTTTATTCAAGTACTGTCCGGTTAATGACTTGGTTTTCTATTCATTGATTTGTCCGTTATGAAATCAAAACATTGTATCGAATTTATTTTCATAATATCGAGTACGAAAATATTGTACAAACATGCCATGTGTTTCGGGAGGCCGTGATTTTTCAGGCAGTAATGCCGTAGCGATCTCGGACTGAAAGATCGCGGGTTCGAGTCCCGCCTCGGGCATGGTTGTATTTGTGTTCGTCCTTTCACCCCTCACCATCACCATATCACATCATACTGTTAACCATATCGTTTATCTATAGTGGCCGCTACTGACCTAGCTGTTAATGCGACTTTTAAAAAAAATACTTAAAAAGCGAATATATGTTGTTTGTCTTCATTTCATGTAACGGATGAACTCGTTATTTTCAGGCTAAATACTTCCTCTTTCTTGATACTCGTAATAGCAACAAAAAAGCGACTAGAATTATAAAACTCACCTCTCACATTAACCTGCTCACTAAAACTGGGTTACGTATAATGAATGTTCAAGATAAGAATGGTTTGGCCATATCCACTCAAGAGGGTCGACCTGAATATATTGGTAAAGTTTGTTTAAATAATTGCATACAATTGATTTCATCTCTTATAGACTATTAAATCATTACATTTTTCATATTCCTTGTATTGAAGCAACTCGTAATTAGGTCACGTTTCGTGTCGAAGTTGTAAAGTCATGGCTTACATTTTTACCAAGACATTTCTATTTCCAAGAACAATGAAATTCTTCAATGAAGATTTTTAGGAACTGGTAATAACTAACTGTTAAAATTTCACACAAGTAAATACTAACACTCATTTTTAAATGATATGATGTATTAAAATAATCTGTGAATTAAAGGAATAGCTATAGGGGATATTGAGTTTATAGGTAATTCAGTTGGATTATTTATCGTTGCGCATTTCACATTCGACATTTCAGAAAAAAAGCGTTCCATCGAAGAAACGCTTCTGGGTGCGTCCGTGGCCTCGCCAAGGAAACAGGTGCGCTTATGAGATGCGCGTGCGTCGTCGGCGCATGCGCCGGGAGTGGCCGGCGGCCTCGGCGGGTGGTCCTGCGGGGTTTCTCCGCGGTTTCCCTAGACTCTGCGCAAGCCTTCGACTCGCCGCCCCGCGCCACCCGCGCCGCGCCCCGCCCCGCCGCCGCGCCGCCCCCCACCGCCGCGCCGTCCCGCGCTGCTAGCGCCGGCCCCGCGCCGCCGCCGCCCCGCGCCGCCCCGCCCCCGCGCCGCGCGGCCCCACAGCCCCGCGCCCGCTGCTGCCCGTCCCGCCGCTGCCTAGCGCCGCCCCGCGTCGCACCCCCCTCCCCGCGCCGCCCCGCGCGCTTCACATCGCCCCGCGCCGCCCACACCACCCGCCGCCGCTCACACCGGCCCGCGCCACCCCCCCGCCCGCGCCGCACTGCGCCGCCCCGCGCCCGACCGTGTCCATAGCAAACGCTTCTTAGCGTCTGCCGGCCCAAAAACGCCCATTTCATCTGCCGAGCGCTGGCGGCGGCCGCGGGAGACAGGTGCGCGCCCGCGCGGAAACGGCGCGTCGCCGCGGCGAGGGCGGCGAAAGTGGAATGACGCGGAACCCGCACCGCGGCGCGGCTCTTTCGCGAGTGTTATTTTTAGCGAGTGACAGACGAACCGGCAGGCAGGCAAGCCGCCCCCGCATGACTTCCGAGATCTCTCGTTCACGCGCGTGCGCAAGATGGACACGTAACTTCCCCGCCGGCCCAGCGCAAACGCAGCCGCGGCCGCTTTCGTTTGTCGAGCACCTTACGTGAACTGCACACATTGCAGCGCGCCTGGCAGGCGATGCGGGAGCGGTGCGTAACCTAACACAGATGATACTCGATTTGTAAGTAACATCCGATATACTTGCACGTATATTTGATTTTTGTGTTTTCATTAAATATAAATTGTTACTATTTTTATTTGTTCGCTTATATTTTTACTGTTTTTATTAAATATCTTTGACTGTTTACCACATTAAAGCTTATGCGAATTCCCTCCTTCTAAGTTGAAGCGAAAATTACATATCATTTATAGAAATGAGATTTTTTTGAACAGACCATGCCATGTAAAAAATGTAAGAGAAGTGCTAATTAAAAATCACGAAATATGTCCCATGCAGCAGAATTTCTCGGGCGCATAGTCTTAGAGAAATATTATTTTTTTTCTGGTGAACGAGGTAGTGAACTCCTTATAAAGACAGGCCTGCGTGTCGATGGCGGAGTTCTCGGGAATCGAAGAAATTCCCTTTGCCACCGCAGGCGCGGACGCGGAGAAGTAAACGAGCTCATGAGCGACACGTCGCCGGAGTGTCTTCTTCCAGCGACTTGTTTTTCCCCCGCGTCCGCCGCCAGCGCGGCAGGGAAGGAGCCCCGACACGACGCCTCGCGTTTATGGACAGCGCGTCGCGCGACAGGTGCCGCGCTGGATGGCGCTGTCACTCGGTCCTTCTCCGCCTCGTCTCTCGCCGCTGAGCTCCGCTCCGCCCCGAGCCGGGCCTCCCGCCGCGACGTTCCGCGCTGACCTCCCGATGCTTTCCCTCTGGTTCTCGCGCAGGCAGATTGCCACCGATGGCAGTGCAATGCCGTTGCCTCTGCGATAACACTGAATATCGACAGTGGCGAATATTCGCCTCGAGTTGCACATAGCCGGGTCGAATTCAGTCGCTCCGCCGGCTGAAGCTGGAGGATTATTGTAGCGCGGGCTGCTCTGATCGGGAGTTTTCGCGTGGTTTCTCCGATCAGTACCATGTACATTTGGTAATACGTTAGTAAATTGGCCAAAGACCACGCGCGAATTTTCGTTCCTCATCCTTGCCCCCTCCAGGACCTCACACGAACACTTATAAACACTTGCATTTACTTGGAACTATACATGCCGTGAATTTAGAGCTTGTTCCGGTCGGGGACGCCGATCGTTGCAAGCCGATATGTAGGTCGGCGCCGATCCCACGTTCAAGTGGGGAAGGAACCCTGCTTCCTGCTGGGTAATGAAATGCATGACATTTACGGGAATAGCGACCATTTCATCTGACGTGCCCGGAAACGCTAAATACTCGTTCGCCTAAATTCTCGGGCCTTGACCGCCTCCTCTTTCGCCGCAGCGCGCCTCGCGAGTAGTGATGAGCCATCCCCATCGGCTTCAAAAAAACAACAAAACATAAAAAACAATGTACCTAAAAAGCTCGATGTTAAATACGTCGATGATTGTATAAAAAATAAAAATAAAATGATGTTTTGAAATGATTGCCATCTTCGTCGCATCCCTGCATCCGTCGTCGCTCCGCGCCGACCTCGCGATGCTTAGAGCATAGGCTTCCGAGGCCGGAATCAGTATTTTCTTAGCTGTCGCAGAATGGCGACCGAAACGTCGGCACCTTCACCATAGACGCGGCGTCACCCGGACAGCCAAGTAAATACTCGCGATGCTTTCCCCCGGTTGTCGCGAACGCAGATCGCCGCCTTCGTGGATGCGTGCGTGCGGCGGCGGCCTTAAGGCGACGGAATCGCTGCGCGCGGCTCCATCGCAGTCTCTCTCCGCGGCTTCCGCCTCCGCTATCGGCCTTCCCGCATGCATTACTCCTAGCCGTATTCCGTTTTCCCCACCGCTGCCAGTCTCTTTCCATCTTGTTTCACCGTGGCTCGTTTTGGTTTCCGTCTTCCTGTAATCTACGACTCTGAATACTCGCCTTCACACTTCCTATAACGACTTCCTGCCGTCCGATCTTTTCTTACGAAACCGTCTTCCTTTATGCCCGATTCCTCAGAATTGTCTTTGTTTCTTTTTATATCAAATCGATCTTCTGGCAAAACTATCATTATTTGCATATCGTCATCTTCATTTCGCACTTATGTCGTTTCCAGTTTTCTATTTTTGATATTCTTTCAGTTTTATGTATCTATCCTGTTATCCATTTTTTATTCGTTTTATTTTTTTCGTTTGTTTTTCATTTCTTCGTAACATTTTTTTTCTCTTGCTTCTGTATTCTAAACCTCGTTTCAACAACCCTGTTTCCTTCCATTTTCTCGTTTATTTTTACCTTTCATTTCCTGTTTCCGCCGCTCCTCTTGGCCCTCTCCGCCTAATGGAGCAGAAACTCCGCAGCGCAGCTTCGCGTTGCGTAACCGCAGCCAAAAGAAGGCGACGGCACCGCTGCCGCCGGCGAGAGGACGAAGCTGTTTTGCATAAACATCGTGAGGTCGGGCGATAGCGCATCGCAATCTTCGGTTAATCTTCTCGATCCTGCTGGCGGCAGGTGGTTGGAGGTTATTGAAAATTGTGTCGCGGGAGGACGATGCTTATCAGTATTTTCAAGGGGGTACAAAAAGCGGCCATCTTTGCCCGACTTGACTAGTTTTTTGTTTGTTTTTTTAATTAATCGTGCATCGTCAATTTTCTCAGTTAATACCTCCACGATAAAGAAGAAATTGGTTAGAACTAACTCGTAAATAAAGTTCT